GCCCGGGGGGCGAGGAGGGGTCCACGAATAGGGCCCCCGTCGGGGGGGGGGGGGGGGGGGGGTATCACACTGGGGGCACATGGGACACAGGGCCACACCCATGATGGGCATTTGAAGGGGTTGGAAAGATCTGTATATATTAAAATATAAAACAGTTGTAATTAAGGACGAGAAACACATACACATACATTTGAATATTATTAAAAGGCATCTCTCATATAGTTAAGTTTGAGCTAAAATTGTTCTTAGCCAGCTACACCATTATGAAATTCTACCATAACATAAAAACATAAAACCAGAGAGTTTGCCTTTTAAGGGGTTTAGACATGTTTGTTATAGATTAACTTTAGGTGTGACTTATTCCCCTGAATGATCATTAACAGGATGAGTAGTCGATAAGTGAAATAAAGAAATAAAACATTGGGAGTCAACGGAGAATCCCTGATTTGGAAGTAAACTTTTCCATCTAGAGGAGCCACACCGGCAAAACGTTCAGTCACATTTCTCCTGAAGACCAGTATCTTCAGAGTATCAGCTCTTCAAAGGAGATGAATCCAGTAAGAGAGATCGGATCACACAAGATAAGAGTGGTTTTGAAGTGATAAGTCAGAAGGAATTCCGCAATTCTGTGGTGGTAAAAATCGTAGCGTATTTGTAGGGCTGCAAATGTTTACCTAGCGATTGCACAAATTACCCTCTCTATAAAATCTCTCCCCATGACACGTTTCACGTAGTTTACAGACCGTATTGTCACTCTTATCTTTATGGCCAAAGTCATTGATTTGATTTTCGTTTTTAAACCATGGCTTTGTTATCTGCGTTAGATTTCGTTCACACACATACCTTATCAGAGTGGATGTCAACGCTGGTCATTCATCAACAGACAGAGCTGATATAAATATCATCTGAAATAAACCCAAGATGCTTTTCCTCATTTCAGATCTTTGACAGGATTAAGGAGAACGCCCACTTGGCCATCTCTCTGGACAATGCTCGCCTGGCCTCAGATGACTTCAGAGTCAAGTAAGTTCTCCAACTTCTTAGGGGTTCTATGCATCCTCTCTCCAACGTATCTGACACACATCGATGTCCCTTCAGAATGGAGTACGAGATGACCATGCGTCAGACAGTAGAGGCCGACGTCGGCAGACTGAGGAAGATTCTAGATGACACCAACGTAATCCGTCTGCACCTGGAGAGCGACATCGAGTCTCTGAGGGAGGAGCTCATCAGTCTGAGAAAGAATCACGAGGCTGTAAGGACAAGGAAAACTGAAAATGGAACTGGAAAACCTCCCATCGACCTTCTGAAAGACGTTCCAATTTCTTCTTTAACAGGAGGTTGCTGACATACGAGCCCAGATCACACAGGTCGGCGTCCACGTGGATGTCGACGCTCCAAAGGGTCAGGACCTGGCCAGGATCATGGAGGAGATGAGGGAAAAGTACGAGAGGATCGCTCTGAAGAACCAGGAGGAGCTGAAAGCATGGCACGAGACTCAGGTCAGTCATCAGTGTGTGCTGAGCCTTTAGGTGTAGACTTATGGTATTTTTCAGACAGCTAACAGATGTGTTTGGTGTTGTCATTTGCAGATCACGGAGGTCCAGGTCCAGGTCACCCAGAGCACAGTAGCGTTGAAGGAGGCCACCACAGTCTTGTCAGAAACCAGGAGAAAATACCAGGCTTTGGACATCGAGCTGCAGTCTGCTCATAGTCTTGTAAGAATTTGAATAGTTGGTTTAACACTTGGTTTAGTTAGGTCAGGAGTTTGGGGTTTAACTAATCATATCAGAAGAAAGCTTAGCAGTAGACATGAGCATACTTCAAAAAAACATTTTTTAAATTTGCGAAATAAAATCAAGAAGCTGATATGATGATAACCCTGGTTTAAGGTTGGAAAGAAAATGGTAGCTCAAAAACATGGAGCTGTCACCACACTTTGTCAAAGTGGGTGTGGCTTTCTTTTGGTAATATATAGTGTTATTTGGTCCAAACGACCTGTTTTTATTTACATTATTTTCTTATAATTTAAAAACGAAAACATTTCTCGAACTAAATATCCGTTTTTATTTACATTATTTTCTTATAATACAAAAACGAAAACATTTCTCGAACCAAATATCCTGGGGGGTTTTTTGTTTGTTTTTTTATCAAAATCTTTTTTTCTTTCAGACGGCCCCATAAAGTGCATAAAAAAGATGATCAACATACAGTATATTACCTATATCATTACCTTTGTTTTATATTCATATAAAAAAATGTTTCCAACACTGCAGTCTGCCTAAAGTCATCATACTGCATAATGGACTTAGTGCATCTTGATAAAAGTAAGTAGGTCAGTAACCTACTGTCTGTATCTAACCTATGTCCGCAGGCCTTATGTTTGAGTTAGCTACAGGTGTTTGCTCTGCCTTATATTTATTGAACAGACCTGCACTTTTGTTAGTCTCCAAATTTGTGTCTCCGCGTGACATCTTACAAAAAGTAAATGTAACTACCCCGTTAACCTTGGCCTCTCAACCTTCCAACAGCGAGCCAGCCTGGAGGCCACACTGCGAGACATCGAGATGCGCAACAACGCAGAGATGGAAAGGTACAACAACATCATCCATAGGCTGCAGGAGGAGCTGACTAAGATCCGTAGCGACATCCAGGCCAATGGCAGAGAGTATGAACTTCTGCTCAACATCAAGGTGAAGCTGGAGGCTGAGATCGCAGAGTACAAGAGGCTGCTGGACGGTGGAGCCATAAAGTGAGTATGAGGCGGAAGTCACAGAGAGCGGAGTCCAACATCATTTAGTCTAAATGATGAATTTTGAAAGTGAAAAAAATGCACGTAAACTCCATGTTTGTGATGTTTTGTCAAATTATATTTCCGTAAATATGAATATTTTCTAATGTTCTTGTTTTTATTTGGAAGAAATCAAGGGTGGGGTGCTTGGACTTATTGGTCCAGGTCCACTTGACATCTAAACCAACTGTATGTGGCCCCTGAAGCAAAGAAAGAATAAAATAAACTCAGTTAAGCACTCAAATTAGCGGTTTCTGTACGGAAATGAGTTGTTCTTAGTTCAGTTACAAAATATTAGTGGGCATGGTACAGAATCCCGAGGAACTCCAGAAATGACAGTAAAGTACTCTAACAAAGAAAAGTGTATTAAGAATGTTTTTGTCTAAAATCGGTTTGATTATATAATCAATTGTTTAAGTCAAACATATGAAGGCTTTACATACTGTAGCTGGTTGGTTGTCAAATTGAGTTAAATTCTTTTCTTTCTTTCTTTTTTCCAGACTTGAGGATGCAATTGATCCCAGAACAGTTCAGACCAAAGTGGTGACAGTCACTCAGACTCTGGTGGACGGAAAACTCGTCTCAGAGAGCAAAGATGTGAAATCGAGTGAAAAGGTCGTTAATTAAAAGAGGAGCTAAAAAAAACTGTAAACTGATGAAACTGCAACACAATAAAACGAACAACAAGGTGAACCCAACATTTATGTGTCTACGGTCTTTTATGAAACTTTGTTCATTTTACACATTTATCCACAAATCAGGAAATCATTTTTTAACTAATTGTGCAGATTTTTTTTTACCTTTACACCTCTGCCGTATATGTAGCAATGATTCCATAGATTGGCTGTTAGAATTCCTAGACCAGGCGTGTCAAACTCATTTTCACCGGGGGCCACATCAGCAATACAGTTCCCCTTAAAGGGCTGGTTGTAACTTGTAATTTCTCAGGTTAAGAAACTCTGCTGCAAGGACTTTACTAAATGCTTTTTAAGCTCCCATGGGCCTCACAAAATGGCTTGGCGGGCCAAATTTGGTCCCCAGGACTTGAGTTTGACACGTACAGTATGTCCTAAAGGATACACATATTTGGTGCCTCTAAGGGACAGGCTGTTAAAGCAGATCTACTGTTAACACAAGAATGTGGGATCAATACATTTGCAACTAGAGAGCAAACGTTGCAAAGATCATTGCATCGAAACTTACCAGTGGTAAGTGTTAAATATAATTGCTGAATGTTTGTACCAAATGAGCTAATGGTTTCCAAACAATACTGCAATTTCCCAGGGAAACAGCTAGGCTCCCAAAGCTGTCAACAAGAGGTCAAAGTCACGTACAACAGAGCTAAGAATATCTAATGGGATAAACAGCAGAGCATGAGTTTGTAAATATTATCCATTGCTGGAAAAATGTATGAGCTAAATTTGCAATATATTCACAGATAGCATACACTTCACCACCATCAAGGTCAGCACTGCTGGCCTAAACAGTATCACAATCAGTGATACTGTCTCATTATTTCTCTTGGTTGTCGAGTTTTTCATCCAATCATATTTCAGCCATCATTAGTTGCCAGGGTGAAAGAAATCTATCACAGGGCCTTTAAAACCAGCAGTGCTAAAATGAATAACAGTGAAAATGCTTCTTTAACCAATCAGATTTTGAGGTTAGCGGCACCAAGGCTTTTTAGCGGGAGTACAGCCTAGAAACGTAAACACGCACATTGATCGTTCTTCTTTTGTTTTTCTCCTCTGTTGTAGCTATTTTACAGCTGATTTCTAAAATCTGATATGACAATGAAGTGTAAACAGCTCCAAAGGTTTATCATGTATTGTATAACATGAACTCGCTGTACGTTACATAAGTCCGACTCCCCGATGTGCACATCACTCATTGAGGGCAGAGCGACCTGCTGCCCTTTTCCTCCCCCTCAGTGAGTCAGCAGTGAGCTCAGGAAATTCCTGCTACTGCTGAGAAATTTGCAGCCTGTTTTCCTTCTTTGTCCTGTAACGGTCAGAACTCCTCTGTTCCCATGTCCACTTTCAACTCTCTCTGTTTATTCGTGCGCATATGAGTCAGTCCAAGTCCTGGGATCTCCTTGATATAGACGCGGAATTTAGATTATGGTTGAATCACTGCATGAGTTGTCAAACATTAGCAGAGGCTCTGGACTGGGCTGAGTTAAAATGACCTCCAAAGGTTCCACATCGTTCTCTCTTGTGCTGCCAAAGAGTTTGTTTATGCAGGCTTAAGAGGCAAAAGAAGCTTCTGATAGAGAGAGAGAGAGAGAGAGAGAGAGATGGAGAGAGAGGGAGAGCGAAAAGATAAATGTAAAAACATACAAATGTTTGAAAAGCTACAAACATAAGCTTAAAAACAGATAATTCAAAGATAAATCATTGTTGAAAGAACTAGCTACATATCCTTAATCGGTGAGCCATAAATGTAGTTTACTTTAAAATAACTTTTGATAGAATTGTACTCAAAATAAAAAATAAAAAAAAAACAACAAAAAAGAATTACTAAGATAGAATTACTATGAGGGAGAAGGGAAGCCTAGCTAAATAGCCTAGCCATAGCCTAAATGGAGCTAATGTTTTGGTGTCTTATTAAGTTGAAAAAAATGATCTAACATACAGGGTTTTATTGTGTTTAAAGACATCTAGGGAACCAGAGAGAGGTTGTTAGTTTTCATTGTTAGCTTCAGAGCAGCAAAGACTTTCCTCTCTGTCTCCTGCAGACAGGAAGGTATTGTTCAGCAGAGGAATTAGAAGCATGCAGATGTGATGTACTGATGTCCTGTACTCACCACATTCATCCCTGATTCCTGTCAGTCCTGAATAATCCTCTCTTCACTACCACTTCAATAGCCTGCCCCAATGATTCCTCTCCGGCAGGGAAAATAAGAACCATCTGTGCGGAATAAGCGAACTTGGAGCACGGCATATGGAAAGCAGCAGTTACACCACACGTCCACAGTGAATGGTGCGAGCTAGGAAACTATGAGAAAGTCAACGTCAGTTTGTCGCTTTCTTCTACTAAAAACATTCCTGGCATTTAGATAAATGAGAAAACTGTACTCTCTACACCAGGGGTGTCAAAAGTTTGGTGCATACTAAAAATAACCAGTAATTTAGGGTAACATTTTTTTGTGTAATATATGCCGTCGGATTCAGCAACAGCATGGGGAACTTGGAACTGAGAAGGTTCCTCAACCTGCCTCGATATCACATAAGATAAACCCCTGAAGTATCTGTCTATCAACACCCTATTACACATTAATCAATTTGCACTTTGTTTGGTGAGACCTGCACCCACACACAGACACCGAGACATTCTTCATCTTTCCATCTACCCCACATCTGCTGGGTGTGTCGTCTCTGACTCAGTCAGTCATGAAGTTCCTCCAACACGCAGCCCTTTTCTCGGGAGGAGGAACAGAGAAGCGGTGAAGGCTGTGGACCGCCAGTGACGAAGGGTGTGTGTGTGTGTGTGTGTCTGGGTTTAAAACACATGTGGTAGACATCTGCTGTGGTAAAAAGAGAGTAATGTGAGAAGAAAAGGGGAAAGCTAAATTTGCAGGACCAAACGTTTCAGCCATTTTCGTCTCTGAAACAGAATGTATATAAATATACATTATTGCGCAACTTATCCTAACAGACTCAACGCACGTTTATTTTGTCATACGGCTGAATATCCAGCAGTAGGATTCACTTTCTTAAAGAAAACAGCCACATATGGTGTGATGTTATTGTTTCACTGAGTTGAGGAACTGCCTGTAAATGTATAGTGTGGAGGCCGGGTTGTATTTGAACCACCTTTACTCGCCATTTGTTGTGTTATTAGCACATATAGCGATTGAAACAATGCATATAGTTTAAAAAATATATGAGAAATAGGATAGGAAAGGACATTTTGGAGGAGAAAGTACTGCAGTACTTATATACAACTCCTTTAAAGAAATATATGAAATGTAAAACAATGTATTTTAAAGTCAGCCCCTGGTGGACTTCAGTGGTACTCCATTTAGAACTGCTCCAAAGAGAACATCCATCATTTCAAACAAAAGTTAAACCATAAAGTGTGCCACTTTACTGGGAGTTTTGTAGCCGACATTTGCTAACACGCGGCAGGACCTTAGATCAATAATCAAAGAGTTGACATAAGCGGGAGTCAGATTCACTCGGAATTGCAAAGTAAGCACAGTGCTCCAGACACAGATGTCCACACAGGAAGTGTTCACAACCCAAACATGTTGTCCAATCACCCCCAGCTGTGGCGAGACGAGACTCTGCACAGTGGCAGACAAATCCGATTTTCATTTTCTTCTACATGGCTGGATGAGAAAAAAAAGGACTTTACGTCAACAGTGAACAGACGATAAAAAAGAAAAAATAATTAATGGGATGAAAGTGAAAATAAAAAGACAGGATTGTGGGAGAGAGGAGGAGGAGGAGGAAGAGGAGGAGGAGGGATCGACACAGAGGACGGATTAGGATCTGGGCAAACTGCCACCATCCAGATCCAGCCACTGTTTTCACTTTCTGAGCATTAAATCCAACTCTTGCCCCGTCCAAACTGAACTGCCTGAACCTTTTCATTTTTCTTTTTTTTTTTTTTTTTTTACAAGTGACTCATTTGTCTGGTTTCTGTGGAAACTAACCACAAGAACTTTAGAGACCCGAACATAAAAAGCTCCACGTTAATTGTGGCCACAGCTAAAAATAAAACTATGGAACAACTTTTTTTATGCTGATACCAGCAATATAACGAAGATATAATATAACAGAGAAACTTTAAACATGATGAAACAAAGCCTGTCTCAATGTGAAGCAGCGCTGTGTGAAAGACGGTGCTTGAAGTCTGTCACACTGAGCTGTTTCATCAACCTTGACATTCCTGAATAAGTCACTGACTCACATTCCAGAGTAAAGGGTAAATGATTCAGTTGTGCTTCCATCCTGAGAATAAGGGGGAGTAACCTGTATGATATGGATGATATTTATGAGGAAAATATCTACGCTGGAGCTTTTAGTTCTGCAGTTACATAATAACAATAAGTTTAACTATATTGACACCACTGTTAACTGTTCAGCTTTTTATTAAGGACACTTGACCTCACTTGGCCATGTACTTTGATCAATCAGGAAGGTGTGACTGCTCTGTGCCCAGAGAAATGAAACTAGTTTTAACCACACAACATTTCGATGACAATATGTCTCAATATTTTTAAATATTGTTGGAACACTTGTCTCTACAGTAAAAAAAGAGAGGGAAAAAAGAGGAAAATGTAAATTATAGGGAAATGTAGAATCCATAGCATAAATTAGATAAGAGAAAACAGAGCTATATTTTTATTTATTATTTTTCATTTATTTTAATTCATGTAATCGTTCATTTGTATTCACGCCACTACGTTGCTATAACATAAAAGACCGCTAGGTGGCGCATCGCTTTGTGGTTGAATGGGAGCGAACACAGGAAGAATAAATCCTGTTCCAGTGACACAAACACCAGCAAAATGTCCTTTATTCTTTCCACAGGTCAGTAAATATACACTCAGTCAGGTCTACAAATTATATTTTATGAGTTGAATATGTGACTAAGTAATAAGCTGTGTACACATAAGATAAAGTAAACTCTTATCGAGAGAGGGTTGATGTTCGGTGGGTGTGACGTGTATGCTAAGTGGCTAATGCTAAGCGGACATGTATGGTAATGAGTGAAGAAAATGGATGCCCTAAATGTATGCAGATGTTTATTAATTAATGCGTTTTCTGCAATGTGTAATTTTTTTTGTAATTTTCAAAAATGTGTTTTATTTGTACTAAAATTTATATATATTTGTAATATTTGCCAAAACCAGGAAAACGCTATCCAAAGTTAAACTGCAGCTTCATTGTTAAAGTGACTCTATGAAGAATATAGTTACTGTAGTAACTTGCTCTCGTAAGTAAATAATAATTACAGTAAAAAGTAATTTCATGATATTAAAGAGACTTTTAGTTTAAAGTTGCTTCTGTGGAATAAAATGTATTTATTGTTTTTCATGAACACAATAGAATGTTGTTGTTTTTTTGTTATTAAAATGTTTTATTAAAAAAAACATGCTGTGAAATGGCCAGATGATATGAAAGTTGTGACTAAAGCTAAAGCTGTTATTCTAATAGCAGAGATTTTGGACGTTGATATATATTTATTCTTACCACAGACAAGAAAATAATTCTCTGCACCCTGGCTATCCTGCGAGGGAGGCGACATTTGCTTGGGTTTTCTCCTGGACCTCTGGTTTCATCCCACAGTCCAAAATCATGCAGATTAAGGTAAGACTGGTCTTGCTTTTTTTTTGCTCAAACATGATGAAGGAAGATGCTTTTGTGATGGCCTCTGGTCTGAAACCATTTTCTAAAGTACTCTATTGGTTTGTCTTTGAAAAAATTATCTGTTCCAGAATCATCTCTCTCTCTGCTAAAATAATTTGCTGCACAAAACACACTGAGTTGTCTTTTGCTTTCCTCAATTTAAGTAAATACATACGTATTTCATATAGTCTCTGTTGCACGTGTTCAATAAGAATATTGAAAGAGTTTATAAATTGGTGGATGTCCATTCATATTACAGGAGAATTAGTGCCACCTACTGTTAAGCAGTGTACGTAGGTAGTGTTGAATGTTTTTTGCATTGGCAAATTACTGCCACCCATTGAAAACTGGTATGTCATCCATATTTGGTTTGTGACCAAGTTGAGAATTTCTGGATTCAAGCATTGGGTTGGGTAGACAAACTAACCATATTTAAAGTATGTGACTGTGAGTGGTTGCACTATGTTTTTGTGGCCCTGTGTGTATGCCATCTTCTCCCATTGTGAGTTGGGATCCGCTCTAGTTCTGACCTTGTAAAGATTCGATATTCAATGAATGAAATTACACTTTCTGAACTGAACTTTTTTTTCTTTCTACTTATAGTATATATATAAATCAATCACAAGTAGAAAAGAGTGCACGTGTGTGTGAAGTGACCCATTGTCAGGTCAACATTCACATGCACTGATTAATGCCAAGCCAGCAGGCAATAAAAGATGTCTATCGTTATCTATAGACTGAACTTTGACTTGTCTCAGCAGGTGTTATCAAAACAGAAAGAGGGAGAGGAGCAGGAATTATTAGGAATTTGACTATAAGGGAACTTATTTTCAAGTAAAATAAAATAACCAAACATGCATTTATTTAGATACAGCTCATTAAAGCTTTTTATTCATAAAATTAAGAACAGAGGATGTGGCTCACAGAACAGCAGATAATATGTGAACAGCAAATACAATTACAGTTTAGCAGATTAGAGCAGGATAACCACGAAACCATGCAAAAATGTACAAAATTAAAGAAAAAGTGCATGGACAAAAACAAAAAAGCATCTCTAGTGACTAGAAGTGCTTCTTTAAGGCTGCATTTTATTGAGAAAGTTTATTTAGTTGTCATATGTTAAAATGACATTTGTGGAGAATCCCAGATACATTAACTACCAGAAGCATCACAGATAACATTTATGTTGATAAAATACACATAAAACAGTATAACAAATTATCTCAATAACTTTAATCCAACATGGAAATCTAATTTAATTAAATATTTTATAGGAAAAAGTAAGCCAAAAAAATAAACTGTTACTAATCTATAATTTTTTTTTTGCCAAGTTTTACTTGTTAGATTTTTCCTCATGTTTTCTGGCCAAGTTTCACCTAAACTGTAAATAAGCTGTTTATTTACTTGGCACCATTACAGGCCCTTTTGTGCGAATTTCACAGATCGATTTAAACAACACCTTCATTTCAAAGACAGTAATACATGAACTAAGTCGTACAACATTGTTGTGTTGATCTTAGAAGCTTAATCCCAGGAATGTAAAGGTTAAAACTTTGGGCCCGCCTCTAGTCAAAGATGAACTGTTGCCTTGCAATAAACTCTGATGAGAATGGGGGGTTTAAGGGCTCAGATAACAGACGGGGTAAAAACAAGTCAGTTCTGTTGTGAAATGTTTAGGTGTGGTTTTCTCTTCTCCTTTCAGGCTGGGGTTCTCTCCTCAAAGCATATATTTGCTTACATTTATCTTGGGTGGAAATAGGAAAGCTAGTGGACCAAGATGGGGGCGTGTTCAGTCACCTGACATCACAGTTTACCCAGATGTTTTTCTTTCTTTTTTCTCTTAGTGGTATAAGATGTCGTCTAAGTTAGGTCAGTCTGAAAGAGGCCGAGGGAAATGAGCAGCCGTTAATCTCAGTGACTGGTTGATGACAGAGTACAAGGTCAAAGATCAGGTCCGTTCAGAGATCACGTTGTGCTGTGTTTACGCAGTTACCATGGTAACTTGGTGACGTGAGAGAGTTTGTATGGTAAACACTGCAGTGGATAATGACTTTTAGAAGATTGTTTGGATTTATGCAATGAGGAAACTCCAACTTCTGCAAGCCTAAATATATACATTATGCAATGTTACACAACAAGGCAGTGTTTTTTTTAATACTATGACGAATGTAGAGAACGTTTTCCCAAATCATGTTGTATAGCAAAACTGGTATGGCCAATTACGGGGTGCACAAACTATGTCAATGAATTGTCAATGAAGTCATGAAACACAGTAGACACTAGTGATTCACATCTGGTATCTGAGATTTGAACCATTTTTCTGTGACCCAATGGTGTAGAGCTCCAAGTATGTCACATGGTCTGCCTATAACGATAAAACATGGGGCTTCTGTGACCCACATGAAATCCAAAATGTAGGCCACACATTTTCTCAAAACATGGGACCATAGTCTGAAGCACTAGGTGTGGGCCATTGGTAATGTATGTAAGCCATATAAACATAATTCCTATAAATAAGCCAAAGTAAAAGTATTTTAAGGCTCATTACTTAGCTGTAACATTTTGCTCTGCAGGAGTTGACTAAATAATAGGCGTTAAAACAGTTAAAAAGTAAAAACGTCATCTTGCTTGTCTGTCATTGGAAATGTCTCTTTTCAATGTGCCCTCTGACTTTGAGTCAAACGGTGCACAACGCTTCATCTCCACTATTTACAAAGACTGTCATCGCACCAACACCTCTACTTTTACCAAGTCTTTGTCAAAACATTCACAGTTCTCTGGAGACCAGTCATGCAGGACATCTTCTAAGGCTCAAACAGCACATGCTCTTACACACACACACACTCCAACACAAAGAGGCCAGAACAGCTTTCTGTTTTTGAACTCTAGTCAGTGGCCTACACTTTCCTCTTGAAACCCATTCAAAGAAATCTGATATGTAATCTGGAATTGTATTTTAGTTCTGGCAGGTGTTTGTGTGTAGCTGCAGCTTTCTATGTTGGTACTGAAGGCTTCCACCCTTTCTCCTATTCTTTAGCACATCCTCTGCAGTCACCTGACTGCTCCCAGAGGAACCGCACTTTATAGACGGGAAGGGCCACAGTCTGTTTCTCACCTCAGTACATGCTGTGTAGGATGTGGTTTTCATCAACAACCTGTACAGTGAGGCAAACCTTTGTCTCTGGTTTGGTTGATTTGTGTCCAAAGACAACGTGTGTGGTGTGCAGTGGTTAGCATGCCTGCGTGGCAAGCAGAGAGAACAGAATCCTGGGTTCAATTCCCAGAGGAATCAAATATCCCTAATAGTGCTTTCTGTGTGGCAGCCTGTGAGTTGCAACCACGTACTTAGTGGCACCTCCTGTGGCGGCCTGTGCCGGTTGCAAAGACTTAAACTATAAATTTCCCCATTGTGGGGTGACTTCGGGACTTTATTATTATTATGATTATTAGGTTTTCTTGTGAACTTATTTTCACAGCTTGCATATTGGTGCTGCTCCCCCTTGTGTATGAGCCAGTCCAAAAAACTTTCCAAAACTTAATATTTCAGCTGTCTTTGCCAACAATGTTACACAAGGAAGGAAAAAAAGGATTAAATTCCTAAGATACCATCTCTAAGGAGGGAGACGGGGAGAAGTCATCTACTCTTTTCATGTTATAATCAGGATCAGAGCTGTCTTGTTGATCTCAAATCTCCAAAAACAGTCACTGAGTGTATGCCAGTAAGGTTTACACATGAGAGGTCAAGCAGCAGTTAGTTGTTTCAGCGCTACAGCTGCTTATTTGGCCTCCGATTTCTGTGATATGACCAAAAATGGTCTTTCACTGCTCACTGCTATCAGGAATCTGGCCTTTATCTCTCAGCCAATAGGGATTGCACTGTTACAAAATGCTACCAAAGGTCAACACAAGAGCTCCAGGAGGAAAAAAACTGAGGACAAAGGAGGCAATGGGTGACAATAAAACAGGGCAACGTGTTGATTTGGTACTTCTACAGTTGATCATGTGACAGTTTTGGTGAGACTGTCACATGATCAGGTGGATTCTTAGACTTGTTAAGCATAGTGAATAATTAACTTTAAATGTAATGATTAACTTGGCCATCACGTCCACTGTAGCTAAAAATTGCAGAAAAAAATAGTTTTATCCGTCAGAGTAAACATTTACAGTCTAGGACCTTGAGATGTCATCTTGAGTCAGACTTGATACAACAGTAACACATTTATACTCCTTGGTCTCTGCAGCGGAACAAATCAAAAACCCCTGGTCAATGTCCTCTTCAGATAATCAAGTAGCGTAAACCAGTCGCTGGTAAAGTGACAACTTTATGACTGGATATGAAGGCCTGAGGTGTAGTTCTGAAAGTTGTAGTTTCCTGTCAAGGACATTGGTGGTGGAGAATGGCTGGATGAATGGGTGTTTTAAAGTTGGAATGACAAGGAAACAGGTAAAATCTAAACCTGTATGCCTGACCTACTGTAAAAGCTGGTTGCAGCTCTGCATTGATTCCCAACAGACTCGTCGGTCGTTTGCATTTTCATTCTGCACCATGTGAAACAGTTGGAGTGTAAAGCTGACGCTGGCACGAAGTCATTTTTTTAATTAATAGTCACGGTAATTTGATCTTCCCTTATCTCAACACTTTAATCTGCTTTGACGTCCATCATCACCTCCTTCTCCTGCCTCTGCTTTGCTTCACCCACTTGGCAGGAAAACGGCTCTCACGAGGTTTTCCAGTCCAGTTCAGAGAAGAATGTCAGTTTCATATTATGCTGCAAAAAGACAAAAGACCTGCATACGTGCGCAGAACAAAACACGTCAAACTCAGCGGAACAATGTTGGATAGTGTTCAAATATCACATATGATAATGTGATTGTTGTGGTGGTGTGATTCACCAAATGTTATCCCAGGAATGGCACCAGATTAGCCCAAACAAGTATCTTACAAATACCATAAAAGATACCTTTCTCTTCTCTTCTTAATTATTTCATATTTAAGATTTTTACTGTTTATTTTGATTGCTTCAAAATAATTTAAAATGATTAAATCTTTCAGTATAGACAGATAAGGAAATCTGTTGTTTGGGCGCGATGGATTTGGTGTTTTAATTTGGACTTCTTCATCTCTATTGCCTGTCATCTGAATCTGGTTTTTGGATTTTGAGGATTCTACACACGGCAGATCATCCGACCATCTGGTCAGAACCATAAAAGCTAAAGTATGAGCTCTGTCATAGTTATTTCACCGTCTGGGTTCGGTTTTGCATCAGACATGGTTGTTCCAGACTGGGTGAGATCTCTGGATACTCCTGTTCTTATAAGGAATCTTATGACCACAGCTGAAGGATAAGACAAGGAGTTGTTGACTACCCACGGTTCTGCCCTGACTTCACCAGATTAGGAGGAGTAGTGATTTCAAACATTAAAGATGCAGTTTGGTGTGCTTGTTCAAAGACCCTTACATCACTAAGGGAGTGATCCTTTACATAGTTCTCAGCTTCTTCTTGTCTAAGTGTGATTGGAGGAGGGAGTTGGACCCCAGCACCACAGTAAACACAGAACACCCCTCAGCCTGCTTACATAACCGAGGGTGTTCTAATACTGATAGATGATGGTGTTTTACCGGATGTTATAAAGGAGTAACATTCACTTTCGTTAAATCTGTCTCTGTCTCTTGCGCTGTTGCTTTTTTTGTCGATATATCATTGTCCTTTCATAACGACATGACAACATTTTGAGGACTTCCAGTTAAACACTTAGACCTTTACCTTGCAGTGGTGCAGCACTGCCCCCTATCATGTGGTCAAGACAAAAAAAGAAAAAGTCTACAGAAGAAGTGTCTGCACTTTTTTGGCTTAAACACCTCTTAAAATGAGAGAATTGTTGCAATTGGGAATTGTTTGCCCTTCATTATGGCTCCCAGGTGTAAGTCAGACTTGTATGATCTTTTTATGTCCTAGGTTATGATACAGTATGTACAGTATGTGAGTTCAGACATGAAAATGGAGTTGTGTTGCACTTTTGAAACGGCATTCCAACTAAAGTCGAAGACCCCCTGTATACAGTACCTGAACTGGGGATCTTTACATGGTTCATATAAATATTTCCCACGGTCTTTACTCTGTGTATGCACCTGAATAGACGGTGTTTTCCTGATTTTAAAGCTTTCACATTTATGATGCTACTCCAAAACTCTTTTGTATGTGGAGATAAACCAGACGTCTGTCATCAGCAGACATCCTATAGAGGTAGGACACCTGCACAAGGATCTAATCAACATCAGCAGACATCCTATAGAGGTAGGATACCTGCACAAGGATCTAATCAAACTCATGAGAATTTCTTGTACGACCACTCCATAAGCTCTTCGTGATCACATATGCATCTGTGGGAACCTCGGAGTGTTGAGATTAATGATGTTTATGTCACTTTGACTCCTGTAAATTACACAGGACAAAGAACACACTGTATCTATTCAGCCAAACTTAAATACCAAGATATTTGGAGGAAAATAAAGACTTCAGAACAGTTTGGCTGATTCTTTGTTCTGACCCTACAGTAAAACCATTCAGACAACGGAGTTCTTTCACTGGGAGTTGGAGTTGGACTCGGTTCCAGGAGGCGATGAGGTCTAATGGTCTAATGAATCTGGATTTTTCTGAAAGCCCTGTTTAATTGGTGTTCAGTAAGGAGTCTGAGCATCTCTCTGTGCTGTGGAATTTTTAAGTGTGAACTGCCAGAACCCACACAGTGATCACACTCACGTCAGATCAATTCACAGGCCAAAGGCAGAATCGAACTGACAAACTCCATCTACGCATTGACAAATACATGGGAATCCCTATAAAACAGTTGACCTTTTTCTGTTTCCTGAGTTCACAAACCCAATAAATGACCGTACTGGAGCTTGATTACAGATAAACTGTATGGCCTTTTGCGTTTTGTACAGAGTAACAGACCACAATCTTTCCTCCCTTGCACCAAATACACCCGTTACATTGGATTATCTCTTTTTAAATCAGGGCTGTCAAACTCATTTTGGTTCAGGGGCCACATTCATCCAGATTAGATGTCAAGTGGACCAGACCAGTACAACCATTACATAATTACATATAAATCACAATAAGTCAGTGTAATGTACCCCTTGTTTTCATGCAAATAAGTACAAGCATATTACAAAATCTTCATATTTTAATGAAATATAATTTGACAAATCATCACAAACATGAAATGCATTTTTCATTTTCAAAATTCATCAAGTGGGCCAGATTGAACCCCCAGTGCCCAGCATATGTTTGACACCCCTTCTCTAAAGGCCCATATCTATAGAAGTCTGTGGGCCACATATCTATTGAACTTCAACTTAAGCTTCTTCTTCTCTGGTTCTATGGTAGGTCAAAAATCTAGATTCACTTCTTTGGGCTTCTTCTGACAATGACTTGTAACTGAAGTGACATTAGACTCAGCTCCTGATTCGTCGTCACATGCTGTTATCACCACATTACCACATGACGGTCATGATTCTGTCTGTAACCTTCTGCACTGGAGCAAAAAAGGTCACCATGGTTACCAAATAAACACACCTTAGTAATCTGGATTTATACCAAACAGACTTTTTGTATGTATGATTAGTATGTAAACATGGCCTACCCTTGGAATTCTTAATGCGGGTCACTGGATACCAGGTATAGGCTACTGAAGTATTATAATTAAAAACTGCATGTAAGTTTGTATTTGTATGAAAGGATGCACATTCGATCACTGTCAACTAAACTTTCGATACTTAAGTTCATCTGGCCCACATTCTGGAATTCAGTGCTACGTTACAAAACAAGTTTAAGGCCAACAAAACCAGCTTTGGTTTAGTTATTTGTTTTTTATCATTTTGTTCTAAAAAAAATGTATTTAATTAAACACGTCCCTCTTTAAACTTTGTATCTGGTCTACAAATTTATAGACTTTTTTTTTCTTTTCTTATAGTGCCTAAATAGGCCAAACAATAATCATAACCTTCATCTGGTATCCAGTGGAGCTGACAATATAATCTACAACACGGGTGCCAAACATACGACCCGTGGCCCAAAACCAGCCCACTAGTTGGCTCAATCCGGCCCTTGTGATGAGTTTTGAAAGTGAAAAAATGCACAAACACTACATGTTAGTGATGTTTTGTCAAATCATATTTCACTAAATATGAATATTTTCTAATGTTCTTGTATTTATTTGCAGGAAAACAATGCGGAAAACATGGACTTGTTATTTATAGATAATTATTATTATACATTAGGTAATAATGTACTGGTCCAACCCAACTGATGTCTGGCTGGTACTGTATATGGCCCATGCCCTGGACACCCAACATGGGCTGCTGATAAATAAAACAGATATTTTAGCCTCACTTATATATATTTTTTTAATCAAAATAAAATAACATGTGTTTCCATTGTTTAAATTGTGTGGTCTGCAAAAGACGTTGTGGTCTGCAAAAGACGAGGTATGTCTTTGTCTTCCTTTGGATGAGGTCGCACCTTTCATGGCCTTGTGTGTGTGTGTGTGTTTGCAAGTGAAGATGATAAGGGTATAAAAACCTGACCTGAGGATTTCCATCCTGCTCCTCTTTCTTCTGCTGATTGTCAAAAACCAGCAGTGTGAAAGTGCTGGAAACTCCCAAACAGTTCAATCATTGTTTTGACAATGACTCCCACAGACATTCCTGCAGCCACAGGATGTGAACTACACGGGACCCTGTCATTCCGTTATCTTTTTTAGTAACACAAATTTAAAATGATTTGAGTGCGTTTGGCCGTGACTCATCTCAGACCACCATCAGCTTCTGTTTGGACTTTTGTATTTTACTGGCAACTTTATCAAAAGATGATAAAGGGGAAAAAAGGGAAGTGGATTTTTCTGCTGTGCCAAAATCATTACTGTAGTGAGAAAACCATCCATTATTCTAGCAGTGTAGTGGTGTCACGTGTGCACCACTTCCCATTCTTTTTTCACTGTCATGACAACTCACAGCACAAAGAGCACAACACAGTTCATCTGTGACGGACAGGAAACGAGAGCTTGTCGTGGGCCGCTGACATTTGAGTGAATGCAGGGAGTCAGAAAAATCATTGACACTCAAACTGAAGGACACTTAAAAAATACTTTTTAAATTCTTTTGGCAGTAACTTTAGACAGAAATTAAATCAGGGTTCAAGCCCTACAAGAAGTTGGCCTTTTCAATTTTATCATAATTTATGGTCTCTCACTTTTTTTTCTCTTTTTTTTTTCTTTTGGCCCATATATTTGTAATATTTTCCAAAGTTCGAAATGCAGTACTTGGAGTTACACAAGACGGTATAAAACTTTTTTTTCTTTTGCTACTTAGTTTTTTTAGTTTTTTTACTTTTATGCTAACAATCTAGTCAAATGACTTGGAAAGCCTGTTCTAATGTCATAATTACGTTGAGTTAAAATGCAATTAGGTTATGAAGAAAGTCCACCAATTTTTGAATGTGCTCACATCTTTGCCTATACCTCACTCTAGTGGACAGACGGTGGAAGGGGCACGGGATGCACAAGGATGTAGTTCCGAATTTTAACAGTAAGTGTCACTGTTTTGTAGATAACCGGAGGGTTTACTGAATCGTTTAATACTGAATCGTTTAATACTAAGTGTTTTTCGTAGGACGATAGAAATGCCAAGAAGTACCGTTGCATTGTTCATTAAAGTGTAATAAACAAACAGAGATCTATAACTTTCATAAAAGTATATAAATTAAATATTCTTGAGCAACGGTGCTTTGTGGGACAAGAAACTATTTCATTTATTTTTACCGTTTTGCCAAAAGATGGCGATCTTGCATTTCTATGGACAAACAAACTGGCTCCAGTTCGGCAGTTTTCTTTTGTTTTGTGTTTTTTTATAACATATAGCGCAAACTAAACTAAATAACAATAATAATTTAATTACAATTAATTTGGAATCCCACATGCTTTACTATGCCATATCAAACAATTTCCTGTTCGGTCCACATCTGGCATCTGGAATATGGGCACCAACCAAAACAAAACAAAACCACAAACTTGCCTTTGTTACTCCAACTCTGGCGTCTTTTATTTGGGAGTTTAACTTCCACTGTAAGCAA